TATGTATATATATATAATTTTTTTATGTTTCTCTTTATTATAGTTGGCAGTCCTATTGAACTACCGAAAATAGATGAACCCACGACTGAGCAAATCAACGAATATCACGAAAAATTTATGAAAAGTTTAGTTGAACTCTTCGAAACGCAAAAGTATAATTATATCAAAAATGCAGAGAATGTTACTCTCGAACTATAACATTTATTCAAATGATATAATGTAAAATGAAAGTTTATGCTGTTTTCAATTATAAAAATTGTTACTATTTAAAGGTATAGAAAGATTTCGAAAGATTTATGTATTATTAAGTATTATTATGTATTATTAAGTATTATTATGTATTATTAAGAGATTTTAATTATACATTATTAATTTCGTATATAAAATTAATTTACATTTTCAATAATTAGATTGAAAGTAAAGTTAGAACTTATAAAGACATAAAAAAATATATTGAACAGAATTTAATTAATGTGTTGTTGCGGTTTTTATATTACATACATATAAAATATGTATTCTTATTTGTCAGAAACATATTTAGATTATTATTAAAATTAATGTTTCTTTTTTTAAATGAAATTAAAGTCAAATTTTTATAATATGTATTTAAAAATTAAGTTGTACGATTTATGCTCAAGTATGCAATAAGTTTATTGTATAAATAATAATAGATATCTTTTTGTATTTCATTTTTGTATTTCATTTTGATAAATATACATGCTATTAATAGAATTATTACAATTGTATTAATTGAATTTAAATTATATATAAATTGAATAATTTTTAGTAAGTACGATCTATTGTACATAAAACTATACAAATTTATATGAGATAATTAAATACGTAGAAATACCTCTTATAAAAATTAGTTATTAATTACATTATCTGTATCATAAATTAATATATATTGGTAATATTTGGCAACGATAAAATTCACATTCCATTTCGTAAAAAAGGAATAGTCAAGACAGCAAAAATCAGAAATGCGAGATAAAGACTCATTCTCAACACCTGCAATATAAGAGATAATTTTTATAGCTGCATGCATTTTATCGCTTGTTATATCTTATTCATACCTTATCCTGCCACTCTTTGTGCGCTATGCATTCACGAAAATTCATGCGAGTAAATTGCACAGCAAAATAAAGCGGTATCCAGAAATTGGGAACAAGAGTAAATAAAACTTTGTCTAAGAACTTTCGAAAAAGAAAAGATTTTTTCATCACTAAATCTCTCATCTGAAAGATAAAAAATTGAAAAACTAATTTTGAATCGACAAATATGAGTATCTGAAACAATAGTAAATAAATTTGATTAATGTGTACCTCTGTGTAATTATACATTGCGAGATCACATATTGCGTGCCCATTGTCGCATCGTAATTCCGAAAATTTTGGCAGAATTTTTGCGAAATTTGAATCGTAGCGTTCCATTAATTCATCGAGCACTAGAATATCTTCAAATCCCTAACGTAATAAACGTAACGAAATGATCATAAAAGCAAATTCTATTACTTCCCCAGCAATGTGTAATATTGTTGCAATTTTTATGCTGTTGGAGATAGTAACATATCGCTTCCTTACTTCAAAACTGATATAACTCAAAAAACGCAATTTTTTATTTATTATCATAAATAATATTTAATTAAATAAACATTATCCTGTCAATCATTAAAAATATACTAACAGAACTTCAAAAAAACATCATTACTCAACGATTTTCAAAAATCATTACGAAAAAAAAAGTGATTTAAAGAAATCGTTAAAACTCAAAAAAAGATAATTTTTTTTAAAGATTGTGAAACAGAAATGATAAAAGTAATATTTATATTAAGAATATATTTTATTCGCAGATTTTATTTAATTAATCAGTAATTTTCTATCATCTTAAAAACTAGTTTTTGAGTTATTGTATCACTTTTAAAGTAAAAAGGCGGTAGTAGTTTTTAATAAATTTTGTTGGGATGAGTAACAGTTAATATATTTTATTTTTTTTGCAAGTGTCGCGAAATAATTTAGTTTTCAAATCAATTCGATAAAATAACTTACAGCATTCATTCCTTGAGCATAGAAAGGCACCATGGCGTGAGCGGCGTCTCCAACTATAACAGCAGTTTTCCCAACATGATAAGGTTTACACTGTTAAATACAAAAAGTTAAATCATACTAAAATTTAACAAATCGAGCGACCGCAGAATATAATAAAATTAAAATTAACCTTAATTGATATTAAAGTTTGCGGTTCTTTTTCGAAAAACTGCTCCACTAATTTCTCCTCGCCGATCAATCGCAAAAGATCCGGAAAATGTTCAGTGTAAAAGCTCAACAATGCCTCGCGCGTCTTCAGTTTTTCGAACACATAAAACGGAGCGAACAAATTGCCAGTAAATGTGCAATCCTCATTCGGAAGGCTGGTCATCATAAATTCACCACGCGGCCAAATATGAAGATTGTTACCGCTCATCGCAAACTTCAAAGATAATAAAAAATTTAAATAAATCCATCACATGGCTAATAAGAATCAGACGCAGTTAATCATGCATAAATATAATACAAATATATATTTAAATCATTGTATCAAACATACAAACGTGGGATCCATGTGACAAGAAGGTTCATTTGAAATCTATGTAATCAATCTATGTAAAATAAAACTAATGCAGTATTAGTGAATACTAATCAGTATTCACAATAGCTTTCAATTAATTGACAAACTCCTTTTATTGATGACAATTATATTTTTATTTCTCTTGATGTTATCTCTCTTTTTACGAATATTTCTGTTGTTCAGCTGATGATAGTGTTGTAAGAAAATAAAATTTTATTTCAGAAAAAGATATTATTCCGAAAGATGAATTTACAACACTAAAAATGATTCTTGACTCTACATATTTTTCTTTTAACAATCTGTAAACATTTTAGGACACCTATGAGCTCATCACCTATTATAGCAGATTAAATAATGTGATTTGGAGAAAAAAGTTCTTAAGACGCTGGGTATCTCACAGTTGTTTTATGTAAGATATGGAAATGATATTAATTATAATACTGTTTGGTTGCAATTTTCATTATGTTATAATTTAATTACAAATTATTAATGATTGACTCTACTTGTTACGAATATCGTTACGAATTTTATTATACATTACTAGCGACTACTTATTTGTAATTGGATTTCAATTTTCAGCTGCCTGTGATGAGTCATTGTAATTTTGTTCACACAATTATAAAAGTTGAATCTGTACTGACACTTTTAGGCCTACTATATAAGATAAAAGATGGGCCTATTAATCGACTGTGACGGAAAGTTAATATGTGCAAATAAAGATGTGAAGTTTAATCATTTTATCTTAACGATGGCTCAAAGTGGAGCCAAAATGTTCTCATATTTAATATAATATAATGATTTAAAATTTAAATATACATATATTTGTGTTATACTTATGCAGCGTTATCTGACTCCGCTATTTATTATATTATTATGTTTAAAACTTGAAAGTCCTTTTTTTAATAATATTTTTTAAATCCATATGACACAATGTTTGAAAAAGATTAATTAAAAACGCAATGATGCTTCTTTCATATCATAAAATTTAATTTTAGCCTAGTTTGGAATAACTTCAGCCTAAATTTTTAAAAAATGTGTAGTAACACACATGTCCAACATTAGAATGTAAGTCTCGAAACGTCTTTCTGTAAACTAGATAGAGTATAACACATTCCAACAAGTAAACTTCTATAACTTTTTAAAAAATACTGCGTGCAAGTTGCCGTCTCATGTTAAATGGAATTATGATGTTGCCAGTCGTATTAAACTCATATATTTATGATGAAGTATAGCAAGGAGTATGAAACTCCATATAGTTTATCATATTGAATTTTTTTACCTGGATCATGGAAGATGTTTTTAAGATTTTCTTATGAGATTTTCGATTTTGGACATGCATGCTGTTTGGTGAAAATTTAGGCTAAAATTATCTCGATTGGGCGAAAGCTATTCATTTTACTCACTTTATTGTGTTCATTACACGCCACAGATAGTTCCACGTATCCATGTTCGATATATGTTTGAGCGCAATTAAAGAGCGGCCTCCTAGCCATAATTTTTCGTACCGTTGAATGCGCGCCATCAGCACCAATTATCAAATCAGCTTCCGCATCTTCCGTTGCCCCCGTATTAGTACTAAAGATAAGAAATTAATTAAATAGGACAAAATATAATATTAATTTCCGATAACAATATTTTTCACTCACTCACTTTAAGAACTTTATCTTTCCTTTCTCCAAATCAGCTTCTACGAGCTTTCTGTTGAAATTGAGTTGTACTTGTGGATATTTTTCCGCAGCTGTTAATTAAATATAATCACAATAAAACAAGATTTATATAGATTTTAAATTAGATTTTATGTTAGATTAGTTACCTGATATCGCGACTTAAATCTATGTTAATAGAAAGTGGATACTGCGAGTAAGATAATACGTGTGAATTTTTGCGGCTTCGCACACGACAACGTCATCGAATATCACATAAGAGTAAAGCTTTTTTTAACTACATCATCCCGCATTCAATCTCATATTCCTTTCACTTACTTATGATATGATTAATATGACATTTATTTTAAATAAATTATGACAACAAATTGATTTTTTGCCCAAGTATTGATCGAATATGTGAGGACCTTAACTTTTGAAAAAATCAATTAAAAAAAATTAAGAATATCTTTTTTTAATTATATTATCACATAAATTATTTATCTCAACAATGGTTATATATTCATTAAAAATTACATAAATTTAGAGTAGAAAAAAACGTATTATTAATTCTCAAATAAAGTTGTTTTAAAATGGAATTCATTTTATCTCAGATATCTATTAGGTGTGGGAAAAAGGTGTTCGTAGCGTTTTTCCCATTAGATGGCATTAAAAAACGCCACAAACTTTTACTTTATTTCTTTTTTTATCTATTTTTAGAATCAACCCTTCTTTTTTAAATGAATATTACTAATAATAAACATGTTCAATATTGTTATAATAAATGATTTTAATTTGATTTATGTCAAATAATGTAAAAAAAGAAACATACCGTCCAATAAAATCACATTGAGATATCGTCTATTAACGGAGTAAATGCACTGCATAATAAAAAATTAACTCATGTAAACATTCAAAAGATAAGTAAAATTATATATTACATATATGTACAGAAGATAATTCCAAATAGTAAAGACACACATTTCCTTTGACGCTGTCATAAAGAACTTCTTTCAAATTGCCATCTTTATCGTGGAGCATTCTTCCGCGCATACAAGTACCATGATATTTTACCAAAATATTTTCGAGACCAATTGCTTTTAAAGCTTCTCTGCCACGGAATGAAAGTGCCAGGTTAATACTTTGACCACGCGACTTTTCCATTCGTATATCTAAACACATAAAGACTCAAAATTGATTATTTATTTAAGATATTATTATTATCAGTATAATTTTAAAATAAAGTGTTGATTAATTGATAATTATTTCCTAAAGCATTTAAAAAATAATGTCTCAAAATTTCTCTACTGGAGATATTATTTTTTTAATGCTTTAGGAAATAATTATTAATTTATCAACTTTATTCTAAAATCATACTGATAAAAAAATATTAAGTAAATATCGTTTATATACATCTATATATTATTGTGTTATATGTTAAAGAATAAAATTAGTACAAACTTGTAAGAGTAATAAATCATGAGACGAGCAAATTTAAAACGCTAAAATTCGAATATAATTTTTTAATGTTCTTTACCTGATCGATATTCATAAATGACTACTTGATGACCCCTTTTAGCGAGAAAACAAGCAGCTAATGCTCCAACCTGCAAAAAGAGCAATTGCTTCTTTTTTTTATTCGCCGTTCTTTTATATCAAAATCGAGAAATAAAAATATTTCACGCACCAAACCACCTCCGACAATGGCAATACACGACTTCCCTTCCACTTCTGTCATAGCTGTTCTGTTGTGTATCGAGGTTACTGATCAACTGTAGCAAACTGTTCCCGTACTCATATATATATATATATATATACATTCTCGCACGCTGCGATATCGATGTTTGAATTACCGATATCTTATAGAGTAAAGAAGGATAATTTGGTTAAGTTAATAGAAATTTTGAAATTGTATAAAAACTTAAGGTCCATAGTGTAATTTAATTAAACATGTGCAAAACATGCACTATTGGTGTAATAGTGTATATTTTATACATTCACATGCTCGTATTTTATTAACATATCATTACTAGTTTAGATCTTATAAAAATAAACGCGACATTCTCACCAACTTCTTATAAAAAGAGCAGTTCCTAATTGCTTATATCTCATTATCACTATTGAAATGGTCAATCTCATTGTAATTGCACAAGTATGTCAATATCTTCTAGAACAATGTATAATTTTAAGAAATTCTGACTATTTTTAATTCGTAAGTTAATAATATCTATTGTAATTATAATATTATTGTGCACCCTTCATATAGCACAGATCTCTAAAGAACGTTCTGTGAGAACGTTCCCAAGAAGATCTCTCTGGGATAGAATGTGCTATAAAAGCTATTACCTCTTTATGTTGCAATCGAAATAGTAAAAAGAGTTTTGTTTCTGTTAAATAAAAAATTCACTCCATTATTGCAACAGAGAATAGACAGTGGAACGACAAGTAAATACAACACGGCGACATCACCCTAACCATCGTCGTCGCCATCGTCTTCGTCTTCATCGTTTCTAATACCGTTCCCCTGTGTGGCCGACGTTGTCCGAAAATTCAAAAATAACCGATGTGAGGCAGTCAGTGCGGCGATGTCGACAGCGAACGACGGTTCGGCGGTACGGTTCGGCCGATGGTGGTGGTGCTGGCGGAGAAGAAGGCGGAGTACTACGACCCGCGGCCCTACGATGCCGACAACGATGTATCACCCGAGGACAATCATCCTTCTGAGCGTATTGGCGTTAATCTTGGTCCTCCTTGGTCACGTTGACGCCGCCGCAAGGACAAAAGCCGAGGAGTCGACCTCGTCCCGCGGCTCGACCGGCAGGCAGAAGGAGGCCGAGCCGGTGATCGAGGAAGTCACTGCCAAGCAACTCGAACGGCTCCTTAACGAGAAGGACTTTGTTGCCGTGTATTGGTGTAAGTGTTCTGCTGTTCGTGTAACGATCCTTTGATCATTTGATCTTATTACAAATTATAGTGTAATCTTAAATTATAAACAAGCCCTCTATCTAGAGCAGAGTCGAACACGATAACAGATACGACGCAACTTTTAAATTTATGATACGCGGATGAAACATTTCAAATATAAATGTGAAAAACTGTTTTCTCTTATCATTATCTTTTTTAAAAATGTTACGTTTCTAACATAAAAAATTGTCGTCAATCATTTCAACTAATGAATGTTATGATCTCTCTTGACGACATGAATATTTTTTTTATCTTTTCATCACATGTCCGATGATGGATTTTCGAGATTCTTAAATCGAAATTTAATTCGAAACTTCATTTTTCTTAAAATTATACTCATGAAATAGCGTGAATATTTAATTGTCTTATGTTTTATTTAGACAATTATATACATACTTGCATAGGAAAAAATCATGCGTATGTATTTCATAAATATGTATAAAAATTGTAATGAGAATTTTTCTATGAGTGAATAATAAGTATAAATACCATGATTGCTATGCTTGGCGGAATATAATACAAATGCTTCATTCAAACACATACAAGAAAATGATATTTATAAAATGATGTATGTAAAAATCAGGCAATAGGCAATAGTGATAAATGGATTATGATAAATATGAAAAGCATCAGCAAAGCTAGACGTTAAAGAAATCTTAGCTTGGAATGTCATCTTGAAATATCCATAAATTTATGTAAATCATTAATATAAATTTTTTACGAAGTTTTTCTAAGAATGAAAAAAAGTATGGCTACTGAATTATTGACTTTAAATAGAGCAATACTTTAAATTTCTATCTTTGTTAAAACTGTGTTACTCTATCATCGTTTTCATGTGGTTTTATGATTTTTTTTATTTCTTATCATTTTTTATCTTATCTTATTTATTTTGGTTAAACGTAAAATGTATTCAAATACTATTCTTGTTAACATATTTATTACATAACGCGAGTGTGGGTGTTGATGAAAGCTACAGTTAGAGTTACCGGAATACCGTTTGCCATTAAAACTATTCTATATGCAACAAAAGAAATAATAATTTTTTTAGAATGATCGCGGGAAATTATGTTTATTTATAAATTGTTTTCATTTATACGTTTTTTATCTTTAAAAACAAATATTAAAAATTTATCTCACAAAATATATCGATGATATTGATAAAAAGTATCGTACACTGCATTTTGGGAAAAAATGCGACAATTTTTTATTTATTTTTTTTTTTTTCAAAATATATATATTAGAATTTATATTGCTTCAAAAAAAATAAAGTTTTGCTTATACATTAATTTAATATTCAATATTCTTTTCAATTTTATCTCTTTCTTTCTCTTTCTCCTCAGAAAGATGATTGTAATGAAAGATGATTTAAGCTTTCTATAAAATTATAGTTCATGATACTTTAACCGATATACACGTTTTATAGTTCTACTGCCGCAAATTACCCTCACGTGAGAATTAACAGGTACTAAATCTACTTCTTCTGCCAA